CAACTCCCAGAATTCCCCAGCCAGCAAGTTGAAGTCCACCCATCTTAAAGTTGCCAAGGTTGAGGAACCCTGGTCTAGATGACCTTTGTTGTCTACCCTAGTGTTGCTTATAGAAATCTGCTAAGGGTGTTATGTATTGATAGCTGCCCTCATTCAAAACAGAAATGCCTTATTGAAGAACTGGAGGGTACAGTAGCTTGGAATGAAGGGCTTAAAAAAAAAAAATCAGATCTTGTTCCCAAAATGAGTTGAAATTCTCCCAGGTTCAGAACTCAACTATATAAAGACCCCCAAATACCTTGGCATGCAGGTATGGAATTCTGAACCATGCTCTCTCACCTAATGATATACAAATCAGAAATGCAGACATAAAGATACCGTGAACGCTGATTTCATATAGGAAAGTAATATAAAATATGATTCCGAGCCCTGGAATTCTAAAATGTTGGTCCCCTGAGGACTGTATCAGAGAAGCTTCTTTCCTCCCTTCTAGATCCTGGATAACTGTAGCCAAAAGGTGCAACTTGCCAAGAACCTCTAGTCACGGATGAGCCTCCATGCTTCTCCTGTTCACTTCAGCTGTCCAGAAACAACCCAAAGCAAAGATATTCATAGGGAAGATTTTAAACTCTGCCTTGTCTATTTTACCTGCTGGGGGCCATGCCTTGATATAACCGGTACAGTGGACCACAGCATATTGTGCCTCTCCTTCTTTCACTGGGCCAAGGCCGTTTCTAAATGGAAAGTAAAGAGTAAAAAATGACGGCTTCCATTTTTCAATCAACCCGATCATGCAAATTTATTACCACGACGCTCTGAAACCCCTTTTCCTAGTTAAATCAAAGTGACTCCCTTTGAAGCACAGATTGTTTCCTATCTGGCCCAAAGTCACAACTCAGGCGCTCCATTACGTCAATTAGATGCCATGGGAGGAGAATATAGAAGAAACCGGGTGAGTCACATAGACTACCAAGCCACAATGTATTTCTTTTATTTCTTGCGTAAGATAATTTGGAAGGCAGTATTACTTTTAAAAAAATATTGCCAATAAACTGATGTCATTTCCCAAATACTGGGGCAGAACAAAACATGTGAGATAAGAAACCTTGGAATTAATATATTGATTGAGGTGATCAGTTGAAAGGAACAGGCACCAAATTTGTTGCAGTATTTATATTCCCCTCTCTCCAACACTATCTTTTTAGTCTTATCTATATGGGATATAGATAAATATATAGACATATAAATATATAGATACATATACATGCTTACACAAGCTCATACACACACACGCACACACATGCACCTTAAGTATGCAGACACATATTAAACATAAACATACACAAACCACATGTATTTTGTTAAATTATATTTCCAATGAAACATAATTAACCATAAAAGTGACAAATAATAAATCTTGTTTTGAGCATATTTTAAACCCTGCAACCTAAGAAAACAGATGCTCAGCTGCAACACTAATTGTGGTTCAGTCCTAAACTTTGGGAAAAGCATAAGAGTGGTTCTGTGCTCACCCTAACCCTTTTGCCAATATTTTAATCTGATTGGTCTGTTCAAATTCAGCTAGCCCACTGGCACCTTTGCTGAATTACTTACCCTCCATGTGCTAAACATTAAGGCCTCCTCCATCACTGTACAAAGCTGATCTCAAGGCTAACAAGAATGTGAATTGATGCTTATGAGCCTTATCTTGTCAACTCAGGACATCAAGCATTGTCCATTATAATAGGGCAACGTTCTTCTAGGTTCTTCAATAAAGACCTAATGTTGTAGAAAATCAACTAAGGGTTATGCCAAAGAAGGAACAGAAGACACCAACCTGTATCTTTTCCGCATGGTTGTTATCCTGTTCAGAGGTAAATGATCTAATGGGGCATTTCCACATCTAGAAATGAGCCAGCACAAGACATTTAGCGACCATACTTGATTGCAGGGAACAAACTACAACAATACAGTAACACAACTGCAGCCAGGAGTCTTTGTAACAGAAGGCTTTTGAAGAACAATTAGTTGGTGTAAGAACTGTAAAGTGTTTGCTTTGAAGCTATTAGTACGATAGTTTTTTCCTTTGTTTTTGTTCTTAGTGTATCCTATCTATGCCAATTGAAAGAGTAGTCACAATAGACATTAAACATATCAAGAGAGGGTCACGTTGGGAAGATTGAAATCCATCATTCTGATTAATGTGCTGAATTTCTATGGAAGGAGGCTAAGAAAGAAACAGGAGGAACTTTAGCCATTAACCACCCAAAGATGGGAGAGGAGTTCATTAGTTGCTTATCCAGGCTGCAAAAAAGATTCAAAATGTTCAGAAAGACTCTGCTTTAATGAACTCACAACTAAAAGAGGGCTGGAAGTTCCTACTAGAGTTTCCAAGATTCCATTGCTTACTTTAATTCTTATATTAAAGCTTCTAACTGAAACCTATGTGAGTCTTGCTTCCTTGATCATGTCCAGTGGTGTAGGGCTTGACAATTTCAGCCTTATTTGTATACTAGACACTCAGTAAAATTAAGAAACTGATAACCACAGGCTGTCTTATTCAAGACCATAATTAACTTGAGAAACTCTCAACCATAGGGCGTTGTAACATAAAACAGTTAAGGGTCTGACCAATTCAGTGTAGGACAGTGTCTCAACAATGACAATTCCATTTAGACAGAGTGCCTGCTATCTTAATGGAACTTCAGCATTCAGAATATAGAGATCCAAACATATGCTCCAGTCTGCATTTTTAAGCTAGGTAATCTAATCTGCCCTTTCTGGACTAATATGAAGATCAGAACAGTTACTCATTGGCCAGAAAAGAAAGGAATAATGTGAGAATGCACTTCCATTTTTCCCAGAAAAACTATCAAGGCAATCGAGGCAGGAGGAAGTTCTAACATTCTCATACACTGGCCAGAGATGGGATAATTGTAACACGTTTTGCTCCCAGAAAGAATCAAAAGTTGTCCTTCTACTGGAGAGCTAAATGTTGGCATCTTTCTGCCAAGGGACTAAAGACCATACAGAAGTTGTACTCCCAGCCTTCTGGGAAAAAAATCACAGCAAAAGGGAGACCAACCAGGCCCTATATATCAGACGAAGCAGCAGCAGATGCAGGAAATTGGCTTTATTCTTCCTCAAATAAGAGTCACTTATGAGGAGTTGGTTAGTAAGAGGTAACTTCCTCCTTCTCCTTTGTGAGAGCTTGTGGGGAGTCTGGGAAAAGAATGGAAGGGAGAGGAGATGTAAACAATCAAAATGCATGTGAGATGGGCACTCTACAAATTGAACAAATGAATGAATGAATGATAAAAAAGGAGTCAGTGGACGGCTTATCTCACAAACAGCAATTCAGCCCAGGTGGCAAGAAACCTAGGGAGAAGCACTGCAGATCATTCCAAGAGACTCAATCTTAATGAACTCCTTATAAATGAGGACTGGAAATTCCTCTTGCAACTTCCAAGATTTTGAATTTATCCCAAGGCTAGCATTAAAGATACATTTCTGATCTGTGTGGTTTGTGCTTCCTTATTTGTGCCCAGCTGTGGGGGGCTTGACTCCCTTTCTTCTGTGTTCTGGGTCTTTCATAGTGAGCATCCAATCTATTTTTGAGATTGAAAATGAGGGTGCAGTCAAACCAGTACTGTCACCCTAAAGGAGGTGATTCTCTTCTTGTTGCTCTCTGTAAGCTGAACCAGAAGCCATTTTGGGGGTAGCTTTATGTAATTACTGGAGGGGAGATACTAGCCAAAGATAAACCACCAACTTCAGGCGGAGAAAATTTTCTCCATCTGATGTAGGATCCCATGGTTATATGGGTAAATTCAAGTCATACATGTAAGTACATACTAAAAAACAAGAACAAAAAAGGGAGCTGTTCTGATCATGGGGGGCAGGGGGGACCCAAATCTATAGTAGGACCACAAACATATTAGGCTAATTCAAGATCATAGAATAAAATACTATTTGAATTACATAAGCTTTTCCTTGGACAAGATGGTAAACAAAACTAAGTGAGGAGGGGCAAAGATGGCTGGTGTTCAAACCATGTGGTCCACATTCAGTGACAGCCTTAAGATGGATAGAAGAATCTCAAGTATTTACTTTAGACCAAAAAGTGGTTAAACCATAAGCCACAGGCCCAGGACAAGCTTAATTATTGCCATATGATAGGATTGAAAAAATAAAGTATTTAAAGACAGTCACCTAAAATATTTCAAAATTGCAAAAATGAAGATGTTCTCAAGAGTTGCTCATGTGCCTAAAATTAGCTGGGTGATTAATTATTTGTGTTCTTTCCCCTTTAAAATATAAATAACAAGTTTAGTTTGTTGTGAAAACAAAAATAAGGCCACATTTCCATTCTAATCTTAGGTCCCAGAAATAATAATTTGAATAATAATATAGTAGACTGACACAATGGATCACATTCCATGGTTAATCTGATGCATGGTTTTTCTGAACAAGCATAGAAGAAAATTAAGTTCTGGTAAACACAACTGAGGAAAGGATGTGAGCTACTGACTCTTCCATAAGTTGCAGAAAAACACAAGATCTGGATTTATGGATGCTATTCATGAAAACCAGCACAACAGAATTTTCTGAAAATTGCTAGTTTGCAGTTGGGGTCATTCTCTTCTGACAGTCAGTTTTAGCACTTTTATAGATAAAAGAAAGAATTTATAGGTGAAAATAAGACCATATGTTTTTATGGTCTGCTGAAAAGAACTGGTTGCTGACTTGTAACTGTAGTTCTTCAAATGGTCATCTGTGAATTCTTACTCATGGGTTATACATCTGTGCAAATCCCCATTCTGTAGGCTTCTTGTCAGCCTTGCGCGGTTAACCAGATAGGAATCACAACCAGATGAGCTAATTTTACTTTACTGTAAAGCTACAGTGATAGAATCTAGCATATCTGAAAGTACATCTCTCCCCCTGTCCCCTTTACAGCCCAAGAAACTAGGGAGGGTCCCTTCTGAGCCTCTTGCCCCGCCCACTATCCAGCTGTGGGCTATGCTGTCTCTTATCTGACCATTCCCTTGGCAGCATCTCTCGGCTCTGTCTCCCAAGTTCTTTCCCACATACCACACTTCTAGAGCTTACAGAGTTGTTTGGTGGGAGCCCCATCCTTACTGTACATACATAGCACTATTGGGAGTAGGACCTGCAATAACTCTTCAATTTCCTAAGAGCTGATACAGTAGATGTGAAGAAAGAGTGAGGTCACCTACGACCAAGCAGAATAGGAGGGTGGGTTGTACTAATTCACAGATGACTATTTGAAGAACTGCAATTACAGGTAAATAACCAGTTTTACTTCATCATATTCTGTGTGATTAACACACTTGGGCAAGTAGCAAGCTTCTTACCTAAAGGAAAGTCTGATCATCATATGGTAACCAAAAAAAAAAAAAAAAGGAGAGAGAGCCCTTCCAGAGTTGTATTTCTCTGTGAGTGAAGCTCCAGGCTAAAGTACTGGATGAAGGTGGAAGGTGGAGCCCATGGGGCCTCCTGGCGTAACTCGGGAAGGGGAATATCCTAGATCAATGCTGTCAGTGCTGCTGTAACTCTTGCAGGGTGAGCATGTATCAGGAGGCACTGTTTCTGGCCAGCTCAGAACAAAGTTTGATGATTGGCACTGTCCATCTGGAGAAATGCTGAAGAGAGAGATCATGCCCTTTAAATGAGCCTGGGAAAGGCAGTAATAAATATCAGTCCCAGCTATAGGTTGCCATAGGATCCTTGTAAAAAGTAAGGCTACCATTACTTTTCCACCAATTCCAACTGTGTTGATTCAAGTAGAAGGTCAAGACTGAGTTTGGAAGGAAGGAAATACCTTGGTGAAAGATAACTGTCTTCGTATGAAAAATAAGAAAAGGAAGATCTCTTTGGATGTTCTCAGTTGACAAACCAATGTCACACCTATCAAACAGGATACCTTCTACAAGAAAGTGAATCAGGTTACTAGCCATGAGCTCTGAGAGTTTCAATATTCACATATATAGAACAAGGGAAATGCTCCAAGTGTAAGGATTAAAGCCTGCAAAACAGGAACCAGAAATTGTGAGGCCAGGCAGCATCAATGTCTCTGACTCTGTGGCCAGGAAAAGAACAACCAACAGTAAGGAAGAAAGGTAGAAGGAAGAACCTTAGAATTTAACCCTGGAGCAGATGTCTATGTGTGCATATATGTATATGTGTGTGCATATGTTTACTGTATATATACCAGTGTGTGTGTGTGTGTGTGTGCATGTGTGCGTGTATATGTATATATACTGGATGGATGGATGGATGGATGGATGGATGGATGGATGGATGGATGGATGGATGTCAGTGTGGTGCAGTGGTTAGAGTACTGGACTAGGAGGGAGGAGCCTCAGGTTCTAGTCTTTCCTTAAGCATGAAAGCTGGAATAGCATACCTCATTCTGCATATGAATGAGCGCCTGGATCCCATGCACATTCTCATTGAGGACTGTTGACCTTCCTTCTTTACAGTGCCAGTTTTCAAATCTAAAATCCTTCCTACACAGTGGGAGAACAAAAAGAAGAAAAAGATGGGTCACCAATATGGCCATTTGACTTAGAGCAGCACAATCTAAATGCAAATAATTTTACAGTGCTGAGAGTACAATATCCCGTAAGTGTGCTTTAGTTGCTAAAAAGATTGGCAGCAAGGAGGAAAGAGAAAGCAGAATGGAGTAATGAGAGGCAATTACAGTAGCTTCATCAAACCTGTGGATTCACACCTTCCACCTATGGGACACTTCACATTAGATAGTTTGCTGAACATCTGAATACATACACACCAAAACACACCAACGGTGTTTTGTTTTTCAGTGGCCCTGCAACATCTACACACTCATTAGACACTCAGCAGCTGAATCTGGCATTAAAGGGTGTGAATGTGCTACACAAATTCTAAACAGAAGTCACAGTTTCTGCCACTGAGATTCCTAGGAGAACGATACCAATTTTTGTAGTCAGTATACATTAATCCTATGTCTATGCAATCATAACGATGTTTTGCTTTATTTATTAGAAAAAATAATCTATCCCATTTTTTAAACCTGTTTGAAAGCAGTGCCCAACCATCCGGATCTTGGTGAATCCTAATTCCCATCAGAAGAGATTAGTTTTGCAGAATTAGAAAGCCATACCTTGCTGATCCATGATTTAACGCAATATATAAGCCCAATATGCTCAAATAATTGTACCACTGCAAGTAAAACCACATTAAACCAGTAGAAGCAGAGAAGACAGACTGGAATTGAAGGATTTAGAATCTATCACAGCCATAAAATATATATAGGAGAAACAAAGCATTCAGTGAAAGCAAGCATATATTCCAAAAATGTGGACATTTCTGCAAAAAGACAATGAATTAAAAACCTCAGTCATAAATCATCTAGTAAGGAAACAAAAAATCCCCACAGTTGATGGTAACAGTCAAGTCACATACTGGAAAATGTATGTGATTCTTTCTTTCTCTGCTCCTAGTGCCGTGACAGTTATGAAAATCATAATTTGTTCCATGTGATGCATTTTCTGGCATGGGGCACCTTAATGAAGTACGTTGCCCACACTCATATTTTTGACTTCTTACATCTTCACTTAGGAATGCTGTCAAAGATGCCTTAAAAGATTACAAGCAGACGCCAGTTCTTCTCCTGAATTATATACTGTACAACCCCAATGACCTTCTTTAAGATATGACTCAGAAAGTAGGACAACAGAAAGTATGACATAACCTCCAATAATTTGGGTACCCATTACTACGTTTGTTAAGCACAAGATGCAGATTCTTTTGGTATAGCAAATCAAAGTAGTTACTCAAACCATCAGACCACTGGAAGTCCCAAATGTCTCAAGATTAAGCAATTCGAGAAGTTTAGAAGAATGCATGCTTTCCCATATTTTTTCCAGTTATTCACTTTCCCCAAGTCTTCACCATACCTGGATTTGGCTTATTCAAAAGAAACAAGGTCATACTTTGAGCTTTAGTATCTTCACAACCTATTGCTTCCTGAGTAGAGAGCTCTGACAAAAAAGGCTTCCATTATTCCTTATCTTTCCCCACAAAATGATTCAAACAGGACCAAAGTTTTGCTTTCCAACAAATGGGGAGCACCAGTGGTTGGGTAGGAATGGGTTAGAAAGTATGCCTTTTATGCTCCCCTGCCCCCATCTAATGCTCCGATCCCTTCTTTTAGATTTTTTTAAGCAAATCTGATGGCCCCTCTTTGATTCCCACTTTCCTGTTTAACCCTTTCTGTCTCCCTATGTTGGAGGATTTCTACAATTGTCCTTTCAAGTCTGTGCATGGCTGAGCTTCTTCTAGGGCAGGCATAGAACTCAATGGTACAGCCCAGACCTTTTCATCACTTACAGTGTAATTACAGCCATTCTACCCATCTATCTGGATTGGAAACAGTTTGCCAGAAATAGGCTCTCAGAGCTCTTACTAATAATATTTATTAGAAGGAAGGTTAAGGTTACAATATAAAAATGCCAGTGAGGATGGACGCAGAACAGATTAAAAGCTTCCTGTTGATGCATCAACACTGAAACTTTGCAGAACATAAAAGTAGATTTACTGACTTAATAACAATAATCACTTAAGGCTGGGGGGGGCGGGATTATTTAACTCACATTTCAATACAAACTCACCAAATTCATACTTTCCATTCATGTGAGTCAAAGCACAATTATCCTGAAGTTCCTGCATGTTTTAAAATTCATTTGAAAACGCTTACTAAAAATGCAACATTGATTAATCTTAGGAGAAGCTGCTATGAATTACTTCTTATCAAAGGGCAGGGCTAGATTGAAACTACAGAGAAGTAGATTCATGCTGGAAATTAGGAAGAATTTCCTGACGGTAGGAGCTGTTAGCCAAGTGGAACAGGCTGCCTCAGATTGATATATTCCTTTTCATTGCAGGTCTTCAGAAAGGCTGTATAGCCATCTCTCTGAATGCTTTCGCAGGACCTGCATTGAGCAGAGTTTCAGATTAGTTGACCTGAGAGGTCCCTTCCAACTCTATGATTCTATGCATATCTGCCTTCAAGTAATTAATATATTGATTATAATAAATGCTAACACTAATAAAAGATGTCTTACATATCTACCTGGTATATAAAGAATTTCATCTGCAGTCCTACAAAAACTAATCTGGGATTAAGTCCTATTGAACTCATGGGAATTTATTTATAGATAGTCCTCAAATTACATTGGTAGTGTTTGCAACACACGCACACACAATCATGAACCCATTTGATATTGGGTTGTTTTAGGCATTTATAGACTGAATAGCTAGAGACAAGTTCTAGGTTTTATGCTGAGCATGCTCAGGGCTGCCAAACATATATTCCAGTCATTGTTCCTTTCGTTATTGCTTTTGCAAGACTGGAGACATGGTATCCATTCATGCTCAGTTCAAACCAAGATCTGGATTCTCTCTCAAAGTAATCAGGGATTCCCACCTCCTCTGGATGCCTTGGCTTCAGCCCATCCAGTGCAATAATAAAACAAGGCATCTTAAAATACAGTGTGTTGAAATTTCTTGGCTGACAATCAAATATAGTCCAACATTCATTGTCCATTTTTTTCATTCTCTCTCCCTCTCTCTTGCGTTTCCCACTGGGTAGTTGAATCTACCTCCTAATTCAAAACTGGGCTTTTCTTTCTTGGATTCTTAGATTCTATAGTGTTTCTTCCTAGAGTCAACTATAAACATATACATTACTTGGCAGCTTTCATCATGTGCTTTAAATAGGACATATCTAATTAAAAGAGGAAGAACCATTGTCCTGTACCAGAATACATACTCAGGAGGCAAGTGCATACTGTAGGTCTGGTGGGGATAACTGGATGAGGTTTTCTGGGAATAGGCTGCACAAATATCTCCCTTAAATAAGGAACGCCTTTACTTAGATTTTCCAAATTCTACAACAGATACTTTGGCCTAGTTCACACACAACACTAGACCATCCTGCATTTTGTTTCAGACATAGCATAAACCTGACTTCACATTCTCTGCAAACCAGGCTCTTATGGCTTGTTCAACAAATTAGAATGAAAACATCCCACATTAGAACAATCTGTGAATGCAGTTCATGGCAAGTCTAGCTCAAGCTATGATCCATGTCCTTGTTTTCACTGAATTATTTCCTTGGTTGGGAAAAAACCCAAGTTAAGCAGCTGCGGAAGATTTGCATGAACCTAGGCCACATTCTCACTAAGACAGAGGTAAATCTTCTATCAGCTATCCTTAAATGCCCCTGTGCACTCAGTTTTCTGCTCCCCGCTGTTGCCTTATACAACGAACAGAGAAATTCAATTTGACTTGGATAAGATAATAACAACAACCCCCCAAAAAAGACTGTACTCCAAGAAAAATATTCCACAGGCTCTTTGGGAAAGACAACAGAAAATGGGAATAAAAAAGCACCAGAAGAATCTTGGTAGACTCTAAACCATTTTTCCTTTGTTTTAATACAGAAAGATGAGGAACCTGCAAGATAAAGGTACAGAAAAGCAAATGATTAAGAAGTTAATCAAAAACATAAGCAACTAATGCTAAAACTATCTGATGCTGTTTCAGTCACAATAAATTGGAATTTGGTTAAAAACTCTTTGGAAACAAGGCTTACTAATACATGCTTGTGCTTGTGACTAATATTCTAGTAACCTTCAAAAACAACTTGCTGTTGGGTTTCCATAAAAGCATGGCAGAGAGATGCCATCAACCACAAATGATGATCAAGGTTTTCCCCAATTATGGAATCAATACTGTTCCTGAAAGTTTTCCTCTCCCATGAATGAGGTTGTTTTTCTCAGGCTGCTTGAACATTATTTTAGAATTTCTTTGGGCAATACTTTTTAGCTGACCTTGTAATTGTGAGCTGGTCCTGGCACTGTATTTGCTGTTTTGTTCTGTTACCCAATGCTCTCCAGTCTTCCTGACTGCCCAGCCTCCTAATCTGGAAGAATCTCACTGGAGAAGTTCTTTCACCAAGTCCTCCCTTGGGATGCAATGGAGAGTTGAGAAGCTAGGGCATTTGCAGGTCTTGGACAGAATGACTATTTGCTTATGCTATCCCTCGCTGACTCTCATATGCATACCTCGACAACTTCATAAGTCTCTTTGAAGAATCTGAAATCCTTTTTCCCAAGTATCATGTCATTTGGGCTGAGTTGGCATTTATGAGATAAGCTGTTAACTGACTCACTCACTGTCCCTTGAATGTTTATGTTTCTTCTCTCTTCCATTCCTTTCCCAGCTCCCCATAATCTTTCACCCTTTATTTTTTTTTCTCTTATGGGTCATCTTTGGTCTATCACCAAATATTTTAACAATCAACTTGAAACTCTCTTATGGGTCCCAGTTTGGAAAATGCTTCTACTTCAAAAATGACCCTGGCTGGGGTTAGCATTGAAAATGTGCTTAATGCAAAACTACAATGTGGTTAAATGTAGTAAAGAAGTAAACCACCATATAAATGTCCAAGTTATCCAGAAAT